CAAACCTACCAAGGTCTGGCTCTCTAGGTTGTTTTAAGTCTGCTCTATTGAGCACTTTTTTAGTTAGTTGATTACTTGTATCGGTTTTTTTCTTTGGGCTTTGGACCTGTATGCTGTACGATTATTTTCGACAGACGTTCATGTTCCTAGCTCTTTCTTTTTTAAAACCTTTTTCCTTCAAAATTGTTTTTGATCATTAGCAAATCAAGAAACCGAAGGTTTTCGAGACGAGTGTTAGTTATATATATATATATATATATATATATATATATATATATTATATCTCTAAAGAGAGATGCGCGTGCAGGCGCATACTGATTTTTTTTGAAAATGACATATGAGCCCTTTCAGGTTTTCCTATTAATTTTATTAGCCTTGACATCGAAATAAGCAAATGATTTTGTGCTCAATGCAGATTTATATGCGACCCCCCATGAGGAGCACGCATCATGCAATTTGTTTTAAGAAACAAAAAAAAATTCAAGTTCCTCTTTATCTGAACACACAAATACACAACCGTTCACCCAAAACCACATCCACAGACACGCACAGATAAATCGATAAGATCTATATGCTTATATGATAAATAATAAATCCAATCTTTTGTTTTAAAAGATAACACGAAAAGTCTTTTATCATGTTCAAAGTACTGGCTTTCATCCCGACCAATAAATCCTTTTGACCTTTAGACACAGATTTCAAGGCTTGATTTTCAATTGTTTTCTCCCAAAATCGTTGGCCAACAGTTAAAATAGGAAAGACAAAGGGTGGCGGTAATTCACGAAAAAATATTGATCACAAGTCAATATTTGATTAACAAATAAGTCATTGGGGGGGGGGTCTGTTTATGTTTATTCATATCATTTTGATAATATTATGAATAGAAGTAACGTTTACTGTCTATTCAGAGGCGTCCACTGAACGAACATGATCAATATCTCATTTGTTAACCAAATATTGATTTCCAACAACCATCAATTTGCAGAGTTTGTTTCATCCTTTATATATATATATATATATATATATATATATATATATATAATAAAGGCAAAAACTTAAAAACTAATATTCCATGGTCATAATTTATTCCATTGGAATCGTAATATTGATCAATTCATGGAATAAATTATGACCATATATATAATAGTGTTTAAGCCTTTTTATTATATCTATATCCTGGACATTGAGTTCTACATGGATTCTACCCTCTTGGAATAATTTTTTTATATAAATATTTATATAAAATTATATATATATATATATATATATATATATATATATATATATATATATATATATATATATATATATATATATATATATATATATATATATATATATATATATATATATATATATATATATAATACGTTTCAGATATCGACTAAAATACGTCCGCTATACTGGCTGACGTCCTTTAATTCACACGTCACATTCCAAGCTACTTACGTGCAGCCATACTAGCTGATACCCACTTGGTTCACAGATCATATCCCTAGCTCCTCACTCTAACAACATTTGTTTTATTTTTTTAAAGATAAGCTGCTGCCAGACGAACATCTTTAGCTAAATCGTTACACCTAGAAACCTAGAGCAATAACTTCTGCAGTCATCCGCTAGCTGACCGAGCTGGTGAGCGGCGCCTCCTGTTTAGATAACTTCAGCAATATAGAAACAGAAGTTTGTACTTTCAACTTTGGATAGAAAATAAGATAAAAAACCATGAGCTGTATATAATACATGTTCATTTTATTCTTTGTAAAGCATACGGTTTCATTTGTGAAAAAAGAAGAAAAAATATGATTTGATTTTAATGACGTCTTCTACGACCAATCTTTTTTTTTTTTGTAACAGTTTTTAATGAAACCGTACCGCCTGTTTTTGAAAACACCATTTGTAGACTATTCGGTAAAATTTAATTCTCATTGGATAAAAAGTTTTTGAATCTTGCTAAACTAAACTGAGTATATATCTTGTTATAGGGTACCTTGCGAGATATTCGCATGGGTGCTGAAGTTTTCGAACCAATCAATTGTTTGTGTGTCTGCAATAAATAAAATGTAATTTTAAGGTATGCTCTCTCTATATATGGAATAACACAATAAACGATCTATGCGATTTACGAGTCTTCGAATTTACGATCGCGAATTGGTATGTCTGACCGTCTGGCCAAGGCAGCACTGCGTCTGGCAACGTGACTGTTTCCTGGCTTGGTGTACAACAATTTCCGACCCAGCTCCCAGCAGCGTTAGCATTCCCATCGCGTGCTTCAAGCTCAGTGTTAGGACAGCCTCGATACAACACTTTCTCCCCCGAGTCAGTCTTGAAAATTTTCTTTAAAAAAAACACCAAAGATGTCTACCAAGAGCAAATTGTCTTTGTCTACCTGCCAAGAAGGAGAGGAAGGTTCTTGATTGCGACACAAAAATGATGGTTGATTAAACAGTATGAAGGAGGAAGGAAAGTGAATGTGATTGCACATGAACTAGTTATAACACTTTACTATATGGTCGACTTTGAAGGACAGAGAAAGAATTTGTAAAGCTGTGAAAGGTTCTGCACCTATGCGATTGACAGTTATAACGAAGCAATGGCTCGTGACAATCTACAAAATGAAGAAACTGCTGTATGCAAAAATATCCAAGTAAAGATTCCATTCAGCCATAGAAAAATAAGAAACAAAACTGTGTAGATATTTGATTTGATTGTTTAACGGCATATCAACTGCTCATGGGTCATTTAATGCTGAAATTTAGTTTTCTTGAGAGGTTTGAGGTAATAAAAATATGATGTTATTCTGTTTTCACATCTGAATACATGGTAAATGATGCCCAGATTTTGTGCATATACATTTGTGTGGACGTAATTACTAAAGGTGATGATATACTGTAGATTTGTTGAAGTTATATTTTGGAATACAGTTTGATTTAAGAAATTGCCGTATATTATATGGATTAATGTCATGAAAGTTTTCTTTAATGTCGGTTGTTTGATTTTGTTCAGTGGCATATCAATACCTCTATGGGTTATTTAATACCGGAATCTAAATAATTTGAATACAAATATATGGCTTCAACTAAATATATTTTGAATACAACTGCATGCTTTCAACTACAGATAAAATATATTGCTGTTCATTTTACTATAAATATGTACTGGGAATTTTTTTTTTATGTAAAAAATGTATTGCTGATTTTTTTTCCTATAAAAAATGTATTTTCATAGTGTTTTGTTTTTGTTTGGGGGTTAACTATTTGCCCATAGCTGGGATCCTAACATGTGCTACTACCCTGGGTTTGGGTGGACCTGGGAATAAAATGGTGCTCAAAACCTCCAATCTCCAGATCATAGGTCTTGTTGCCAGATGTACAACGTCTAGAAAGATGATACAAATGGTATCAAATGTAAAGAAACTGCAAAAATTACAAATAAAATATACAATAATGCCTAAAGAAACGTAAAAATTTTGCAAAATTAATTATAAGTGAACTTACGACCTGCCAGTCACAACCAATGGTTGTCATGTCATCACAAAGGATCTGTATATATATATATGTGTGTGCGTGTGTGCGTATGTATTGTCTTTTGCAAGATTTCACCCTACCCTGCCCATGTCTTCACTCCAAATGTATCTAAGTTGTAACAGAGTTCAGAGCAGCATTAGATCTTAACATTTATTCCAACTTAATTTCAATAAATACAAAATAAATAGAAAAACATATATATTTTTACCTCAGTTTCTTCTTTAAATAATTTTATAATTTTTAAACTTAATATAGATTAAATTTAGAATTTAAAATTGGTAATTTATAATTTTATAGTATAATTTAATATTATTAGTTAGAATGAATTCTATTTTAATCTAACCCTAACATTAAAGAATTAAATAATTATTATAACTTTAGTTTGTCGTCAAATCTTTTGAATTCTCATATACTTGTATTTTGATTGGTCATTTCAGCTTACATAACAGCGTTTCTTCTAGCAAGGGGTATTTGATTGATTTGAACCTTCTAAAACCTTTTATTATACATTCAAAACCATCTCTTGATACAACACCAAAAGTGTCGAAACAAAATGTTTATTTTTAGACATATTTTATCATCATTTTGATAAATTTTATGACATATTTATAAATCATCATTTTATAATAAATAAATATATATATATATATATATATATATATATATATATATATATATATATATATATATATATATATATATATATAAAATAAATATATATATATATATAATAAATATATATATATATATATATAAAAATAAATATATATATATATATAAAAATATATATATATATATATATATATAATAATAAATATATATATATATATATATATATAAATATATATATATATATATATATATATATATATATATATATATATATATATATATATATATATATATATATATATATATATATATATAAAATATATATATATACATACATGCATATATATAAATGTGTGTGTGTGTACACAACATATATTATATATAATTTCACACGTTTACACATCCTAATACAGGAACGCATCTGTACTGATGCACACATAATCACCCACACGAATAAAAGCACATCTACCCAAAACATTATAAGAAAAATCAACTTTTTTTCCTGAAGAAATAAATTATGAAAACTCTTAGAAATGATGAAAAAAAAGAAACATAAATAATTAATAAATAATAATGTCTGTGAAATGTGTGAACGTGAACTGGGGTGGGGCATGCAGAAATTGCCACCAAGCATACATGTTAGCTCTCACCTTGTCAGTCAAATGGAACGATGGTTCCATCATTAACTTATCCCACCTTCCCCCCACCATCCACTTCAATCCCAGGTGAACAAATTATATATATATATATATATATATATATACTGTAGGTTTCTGAGAAATGTGGGCGAGGTAGGAAGAAGTTGTGAAAAAAAAAAACAATTGAAATAAAAACAATACATGTCCCATCAAGATTAACTCATTTTTACCTGCATTCTTCCGGAACATTTTGAGAACATGGTGAGTCAAGGGAACAAGGAGAAATAATGAAGAAAAGACAAAGAAGACACAAGGGCCAACTGCAGGAGTAGGAAGGAGACAAAAGGCAAGGAGAAGCCATAACAGACATGGAAGTGGTTGAAGAAGAAGCACATGAGGGGGAAGATGGAAGAAGAAACAAAGAGATGAAGACATGGGAGAAGGAGAACCCAAAAGAGGAAGAGTTGTGAGAAGAAGTCGTTAAAAAGAAGAGAAGAAGAAAAAAAAGGAAGTCAACAAAGGAGGGGGTGAGAGAAAAACTGAAGAGAGTAGCATGTCAGAGGAGAAAAAGAAACAAAGTGATGAGGAGGTGAGAAAACGAAGAGGTAAGAGATGATGAAAAAATAGGAGATGGGAAGAAATGAAGAAGAAAAAGAAAAAGCCTAAAGAGGAGGAGGTGTTGAGAGAAGAAGATGCCATAGAAAGTGAAGAATAAGAAAAGGTAGTCAAAAGAGGAGGAGGTGGAGAAGTAATAGTCAAGAGAGTAAGAGGTGAGAGAAGGAGGAAAGAGAAGATGATCGCACAAAAGAAGGAGGAGGAAGTCAAGAGAGGAAGAGGTAGGAGAAAAAGATGACGAAAAAGAAGTAGCAGCTGAGAGAAGGATGTGGAAGAAGAAGAAAAAGAAGAATCCAAGAGAGAAGGAGGTGGAAGAGGAAGAGGCCAAAAAAAAACAAAAAAACATAGCAGCTAAGAGAGGAGGAGGTGGAAGGAGAAGAAGTCAGGTAAGCAGGAGGTGGGAGAGGAAAGAGTTTAGATGGAAGAAGAAAAAAAAAAGGTAAGAGAGGAGGTGAGTGAAAGAGAAGAAACTAAGAGAGAAGTGAGAGAGAGAGAGAAGTTACAGAAATAAAGAAAAAAAATATCCCACTATTAGAAGAGAAGGAAGAGATGATGACAATACATAGGAAGTTGAAAAAAAGACACTGTAGATGAAAGGGGGAGTGAAACAAAGTAAATAACCAGGAAAAAAAAAAAAAAAAAACTGGAAGAGAAGCAAGAAAAAAAAATATACTGAAGAGGAGTGGTTAAAAAGAGGGCGTGTGTAGAGAGAAAAAGAAAAGAGAATGAAAAAGAACTGAAGAATTTCCAGGAGTAACAATGAAGAGATTTGGCATCACAGATATACAACCTTGCAAATATGGCCAATAAGCATTCAGATCATGAGCTAATAAATGGGAAAGGTTCTGGGAAGGAAAGAAATCAGAATGCTTTAAAAATGTGTCATGTTGTTCCAAGACAGAATTCTGCAAATACCTGAGAATAAGGTAAAGGTGAGAATAAGAAAGCCAAAAGTGTCGCTAATTAGCTGAGAAGAGAGAGAGAGAGAGAAAGCGTGAGAGAGAGAGAAAGAGTGAGAGAGAGAAAGAGTGAGAGAGAGAGAAAGAGTGAGAGAAAGAAAGAGAGAAAGAGTGAGAGAAAGAAAGAGAGAAAGAGTGAGAGAAAGAAAGAGAGAAAGAGTGAGAGAAAGAAAGAGAGAAAGAAAGAAAGAAAGAGAGAAAGAGAAAGAAAGAGAGAAAGAGAGAGAGAAAGAGAGAGAGATAAAGATCAAATATATCTGATTGGTTTAAGATATATCTTAAAGATATGATTAAAATCAAAGAGAGACAACTCTATCTTTCAGATTCTTTGCTCTCGATTTTTGGGGGTTATTTTTGTTGTTATTTCTTGGTTATTTCTTTTTTAAAACTTTCATTTAGTAAAGTCGAATGGACTGCAGAGAGATCGAAAACATGCTCAAATTCTGGTAGCTAAGTTATAGAAGAACTGGAAAAAAAAAATGTTTTGCAAACATGCCAAAGAGAATTCCTGAAATATCTGCATAGAACCTATCCAATTTTATGGAAATATCAGACCAAGTTCAAGCATTCCTATCAGAGATGGAAGTTAATTCCAAAAGTGTTCCTAACTATCAATGCATAAATGGCGTAACAGTTATCTGCATTTAAAGTGGAACCAGCATGAAGAGTTCAAATCCTAAGCAAGTCTTTTTTTTGTTCACTTTACATTAATGTGTTTGTGAAAGGTATTTTTGTTTTTAATGTTCTCCCAATACAAGGCCCAAGAGCCACTGAAGTTAGAAGTTTACAAGAGGAAGATTACAAGGATACAGAAAATAAATAATGACTGATTCATTCATTTTCTACAGCTTATCAATCCATTTCAGGTTATATAAAGCCGGAAAACATTTCTATTTTTAGAATGTAAGAAGTAGAAAGATGTTCACTTGAATTCCAGCTATGTTCAACACCTAAAGCTCTGAATAAACGTTCCTACTATTATACAAAACAACAAAACAAGCAGTCACAGCACCTGAACAAAACCCCTTTGAAAATGGCTAAATAAGTGGTTAAAAGGACTTGGGGCAATGGCACTCCGAAAAATTTCTGCACTCACTTGCTCCCATCAAACAGAAAAATGTAAGAATTCTGGAAACACTAAATAAAAAATGAATTAAATTTTTTTTATTTGTTATCTTCAATATATATATATATATATATATATATATATATATATATATATATATATATATATATGTGTGTGTGTGTATTATATATATATATATATATATATAAATAATCGACACTCCGTTGAGATTCGACATATGAGGATCAAACAGATCAGTTTCAGGAAACCGACAGCCTGACACGGCACATAAATTTGATTATAGTGGTGAAGGCTTCGTGCAGGACCAACCACACTTTTGAAGGGACGAATACAGGAACCTGGTGCACGAATGCCCAAGGTTCCCAAACAACCCTCATGGGTTTTGAATTCAGAGTTGTCCTTCTCCTAGACCAGTTGCCATCCAAGGCTATAGGATTCAGTCTGTCCTGCTATTTTACCCATAGCTGGAGGGAGAGAAGAGGATTCATACCTTTCCCAAGGGTATTAGCACGTAAGTGAATGTAATGGATTCAACTGGAATTCAAACTCGTCTCTGCGATTCCTCAATCAGCTATCCGTGCCTCCTATATATATATATATATATATATATATATATATATATATATATATATATATATATATATATATATATATATATATATAAGGATAACAAAAAACATGTGAAATTGCTACACAATTGCAGTTGTGTTTCAACACATAACAATGCTCATAATATTACTCTATGTATTGAGCCCTCTTTTAAATTAAATCTTACAAACATTGGAAGTATACCCTATTTGTTCTCATCATATATATATATATATATATATATATATATATATATATATATATATATATGTGTGTGTGTGTGTGTGTGTGTGTGTGTGTGTGTGTAAAATCTATGTTATCTTTATTCCTGTTTTGAACAGATTATCATTTTGAGCAACATGTAACTAAAAATAACAAAAAAACTAATATCAGATTTTTTTTTTTAAAAATGTTTGTTGTGTTCTTGTGGGCTGCATCAAAACATCAAACAGGGTGCATGCAAGCTGGGACCTGTAATTGACCTACCCTTGTTCTAACATCTGCTAAAATTACATTTAAAATTAACAATGTAATCATGCCTAGAAAGAGTATATATTAAACCCCCTCGCAGAAGAATTTGTGATAGTTCCTTCTTCATGAAAATTTGCTTCAGTGCAAGATAGTTAAACACATGACAAAAGAAATTTCATACAAGTATGTCAAAATATATACGTGTCATTTTGTGCTGACAATTTCTACCATTTAAATAAAATTTGCTTTTCGTCATGTTACAACAACAAAAAAAAGGTGAGTTAAAATAGTGAGTTAAGGACAAATTTTTAAAAGTTATACTACTGATTATTTGTAATTTCTAGCAGTTTAAGTTTTAGCTTAAAATAATGTATGAGAAGCTTCTTGGCCCAATTGCCTTTCCAAAATCTAACCAAATGGTAAAATCTGAAATTTTATTTTGAATCTCCCTCTTGCTCTAGTCAAGAATATTTTTCTCAGTTATAATAATATCTGGCTGTTTGTTTCCAATTATGTTTGTCTACTAGGGTGGATAACTAATCTTGTTCAGGTACATTTGTTTTTTTCAAAACCCACAGGAGCCTACCTGTGGTTTATACTGCAAGCATGTTGGTCAGGCTTTAGTAACAGTTTCTGGGAGGATCACTCACTCTGATGTGGTCAGAAGTTGACCAAGTCCAGTATAATCAAACTCTCAGTCACAATGACTTTACTTCCTGCTAGTGCAAAAACTTTTGAATAGTTTTACTTGCCAATTATTTTCAAGTATATATTATTATTATTTCAGATATTAAAACAAAAACATATTGAAATTGCTACACAATAGCTTTCATGTTTCGCTATTACATTGTACTTCTTCATGCAAATGGTAAGTGACTGGTGATTAAATAATTTTAAAAGCAAAAATATTACCTCTTTTTCGAAAGATAAAGGGGTGGGGGTAAAAAAAAAAACATGGTCAGAATTAAAAGACTTGTGGGTTTGTCTTGATCAACCAATTTAAATGTCAGATCTACGCTAAATAGAAAATTAAGCTCAGAGGGTGGAGAAGTTAAATTTTTCATGAAATGACAAACTGGAACCTAGACAGGTCACCATTGTTAATCAATTAAATCGAGGCGCCATTTAATTGATAAACACTTCCCTAGGAATAATCCAATCAGTAAAACTTTTAACAGAAATATACTAAAACTAAGCTATAGTTGTACAGATAATCTTGAAAAAATTATTAAAAATACATAATAATAAAATGCTAAACCAATGCAAAAATTTGAGTAATAATAGCCATTCCAAAGCAATAAGCACTAATAATATCAACATGTGCAATTGTAGAAATTCTAACAAATATCCATTGCAAAACCAATGTCAAACTGACTCTTGTTTACCTAAGCACTATTTCTACTATTGAAAATTCTAAAGTTAAAAAATTAAAAATAAATCAGATCACAGTTAACCAGAATGTATCCTATCATCCACAGGGCTTGAATCTTTGAGGATCAGTTTCTTCTTTATAATACCAGCACACGCTCTACAGTGTAATATTTCATGAATATTTGCAAAAATGTTTAGTCTTTCATCTCTGTCAATAGAGTAACTTATGTAACCTAAATACAGGGCTGGTCTGGGTGAAAGGACATATTTCTATGATTATATATCTTTTTCAAAAGAGCGAAAAATTTAATCTTATTGAAAGCATTGATTTGGATGGGGTCGTATTTTTTTACTTCAAAGAGGATTCAAGAGCAATCCCATTTCTAAAAGAATGAATTGCATGTTGCAAGAGCATTCCTGTGAAATTTGGCCTAATATGTTTGTCCGATCAATATAGTAGATATAATTTTCTCTTGGCTTCCATTTTCTTATATGGAAATATGTATATGATACTGACATATCAATTGTAAGATGGCAGGATGTATGGTTGCCAGCAAGAGAAGAAGCCCAAGATGCGGACTATGAATTGGAGATATCAGTATCAAACCTGTACTGAAGTTTAAATACCTGGAGAGTGTGTTAAGAAAAGATGGAAAATGTGACACTGAAAACCGAGCACACATTGGAATAGCAAAAGATATATTCTGAAAGCTAAACAAAGTACTATGAAACAGAAAAGTTTGTTAGGAAACAATGAAAAGTGTGTTGAATTAATGTAATATCAATCCTCTTATATGGCACTGAATGCTGGATATTCTCCTCACAGATAAAAAGAACACTGAAGACAACAGAAAAGTAGTCCTGCAGAGTGATGCTGAGAATACCATAGATAGAGTGCATAATTCAACTAAGACGTTTTAAGGAAAAATGGAGAAAAGGACACATACTGTGATTCAGAAAGAGGCTGAAATTTCTTGGACACATAATGAGGAAGAGGGTTTAACACTTATAGGAGATGTTGAATGTAAAAGGAATAAGAAAAAGCAGTTTGCCACCTACCTGATAAATGTTAGTAACTTCTGCAACAAATAGGAGGTTGGAAAGAACCATATTTTGAAGGATCACAGTACATGGAAGGAGAAGATGACAGAAGAGAAAAAAAAAAAAAACTTTCCTTTTTTTTTCCTGATGAAAAGCCAAAGCAGAGATAGGCTGAAATGTGGTAACAATGGCAGCAATTATAAAATTTAAAATAATTTACTCTGAACAATTTTTTTGACAAGATGTTTACTAAAACTTTCCTTTTAGCTTATTCAAAACCTTTTTTTTTTTCATTTTATAGTTGAAAATGGGAGATGCAACCACAAGTACTATAACTTTCTTCTATCACTCTTCTCATTTGTGAAATTTTCTTCTGGCTTCTTGCTATCCTGTTAACTTTGATTGTCAAAAATTTAAATGCAATGTTAATCATTATCATTCATCTCCTTGAATCCTATTCTTTTTTTTTTGTCCTCTCTCCTTAATAATATTTTTCTTACACTCTTAGTAACACCCTCTGTCGCTTTTACAAGTATTTTCATGGCAATTCTTCTGACGAGCTGATTCCCAGGCTGCATGAATTTAAGTGAGCTACTAGGCTGGCATCTTGGTGCCATCCTTTCACTGTTGAAACAGTTAAATGCAACAGTCTTCTCGTCAAACAGTTTCATCTCTTGCACTTGCCATCTGAGGAACTCC